CGCACGACTGTCCCCCCGAATCGCGTGTGACCTTGAACTGCTGCCGGCATCACCGACGCTTTTTTTGTGATCGCCAGGGGAACACCCTCCCACAACACTGGACAACGCCAATGTGTGCAACTAGTAATCCTGGCATCCGAAAAGGTAGGATTTCGATAGATGCAATCTACTATCAGGTTCATCATGATGACTTCCTGCATATCGCCCCTGGCAAGCGAGTTTCAAGCAGCACAATCTTCGCTCTGTTCGCCGGTGGGAACACGCTATATGCATCGGATCCCTCCTGGTCCTGCTCCTTGTGGAGTGCTCAAGGACACTCCATCTAATCGGCATTACCGTCCACCCGGTCATCCATGCATATGCCCTAGCGATGGATATCGCATCAATAATGACTCCGAGGTGGGTGATTGGGAGAAGCTGTGGGAACCACGAGCCGCTGGGCTACTTGACGCCTTGCATTATTGACACTCATTGGCTTCTTCTGTGCTTTCCTGCGTCGTCTGCATGTTTCAGTAGCACGAGACGAAGGAAATGAGGTATTTTCCTGCCCGAGAGCAGGTCGATGGAAGTCTTTGCTTGCCACCAATATTCGCTGAGTTTTAAGACTTTGATGATATCTCGAATCATTCTTGCCCCATCCGTTCTCCCTGTTCTTCACCTCTTCCACTTCGAACACAAAGCCAAATTGATTCCTACCGGTAACACCTGGTCGAATCACGAATCCACCGCACTTTCGAGCATTATGTGTGACTACACCAAGGTCGAATACTGCTGTGGCCACCTGCGCTATACTGTACGAGCCTGGTGCGTCAGATACCAGGAGTCACACAAACGCTGTCCCCCTAATGTAGTTGCTGTGTAAGTTCTCCTTCATGGTATACAAACTTCGACTCTTCTGACGCCAATCATACAGAGAATATAGATTCGAAGAACCATGCGGTACCTTTTAGCGCACATGATATTTAGTGATGCAGCAGATGCTGATGACCGATTGATATAGGCGATTGCAAACCTCGGCAACCGCCAGTGGGCAACAGACAACCTAGCCGCAAGTGATGAGATCAGCAAGATGCCCCTCTACATATGTCTGAGTCTAGAGACACATCTTTCCACTCATTCTCGCAAGTACCATGGTACAGGCGATATCGCCCGTGTGAGGCCTCCTCCAACAAGGACAGTGAATAGTCAAGCTAGGGTCAGATTGCTCGAGTCAAAAGCAGGAAAAATGACTTCTCCAGTAAACATACATGTGTTCTGTGCTCCAGATACCATCTTATCTCAAATGTCAACACCGCGTAATGAAGACAATGTGTTTGGCCTACAATTCGAGTGACACGCTATTACCCAACAGCTGTCTAGTATTTCGTCAATGAGAATATCCGCACAACTGGGCGAATACAGATCAACCGAGATGAGAGTATGCCAATGGCGGGCTCCCCAGAGGTCCATATGAAAACGCTTCCCATCGAGTGCGTGATATCTGTGCTGGTACGGAGAACTTGGAGATAGTGAATTCGCATCACGCTAGCGATGCAGACGCTTGATAGAGTGAGCAAAGCAATCGCGCTCTCAGATGAACAGTGAGTACTCACAAACCTCCAAGCATGAAGATACAGATCAACATAAAGCGGTCCACCAGTGAAACTTCTGACTTGAGTAAACACGGAATTGAGACGAGCGATATAGCGATGTCGATAAGCATGTTGATAATGCCAGCAACGAGGAAGGAGATTGTCGTCTCGATACAAGAGCCAGATGTGGGTTCTGTATACTGATCCCAGAAGTAGTTGATCGGCCTACAGACTCAGCGCAATGACAGTCCAGACCATGACTACATAGGAAAATCTAATGAGGCATGCGCTCATCATATGTATATGTAGAAGAAGACAGGAATTCATTTCAATAACGAAGTCCCCCAATTCACTCGCGCCGTATCTGAACCCCCCGTCACTTTTGATCTGCGATTCATGCTCCATGATGTCAGTAGAGATATAGAAGCCAATACGTCCATTGACGAGTGGTGCTGGACAAAGAACCCGTAGACGTATATTTGCCGATGTCTTCGGCTTCTTCCTGTGAGATGCGGAGCCAAACGTTGAGTGGTCCATATTCGATGTTGAATTTGTACGTATAGAGGCAAAGCCTCTCCCAATCCTGGGACATAGCATTCACGCTCATCGGGACAAGGACAGGGCATAGGCCTTGCATGATTGAATAGATGATTTGGGACTTTGCAAGTTGCTGCATCCCGAGGATCTGGAAATCTTGTTGTGTTATGAAGCGGCCCTCAAGAGCTTGCAGATCGTAGTGAACTTCGGGTTCTGGGCAAAGGACAGAAGATCGGAGGATGTCGTTTGTATGTTGATAGACGATGAATGATGATGGGTCGTGCTGGTGAAGGAGTGTTTCGACATGCTGTGGCGAACTAGGATCGGAACCGGAAACGTGTCGCAAGAACGTGACACTGTCTAGCCAGCTGTATCCGCAAACATCGTCTTTCAAAGGGACGTTCGGATCATAGTATGCGTATCTAGCATGTACCTGAGACCAACGATCAGGAAAGGAGGATGGGCCGACGAGCGTATGGCATGCGCAATCGTTGTAGATAAACTTAGGCGGCGAAGCGTTAGGGTCGACAGTCGATGTACGTGGGCAGCTGTCAATATGTATGTACTGCTGTATGGTGTCAAAAAACCCAAGTTGACAGCCAAAGGGACAGACGTGAAGGTCAATGCGAAAGAACTCGAGGTTGTGCCGGCGCGTGTGTTCTTCGAAGCCTCGATAAGTGGTAGTCTCTGAAAAGGTTGTCCGACACGACGGGGCAGGACATTTCAAGCAGAGAGATGACGGATCAGGATTGTCCATATTGAGCACAGTAGCCAAGTCGTGGGCACGTTTGGCGTTGATGGCAGAGAGCAACGAAGACTCTGGCGTGCGAACAACGAGCTGTTGGAGCCTTTGGAGGTCGTGCTCGTAGAGGGAGTGCTGCCAGAATCCGTACTTGTTGGCTTCTTGTTGGCAGCTGGCTTGCCGGAGGTCGACTCTCTTGCGGCAGTCTTGCTCGCCAGTGTCTTCCTGACGGGAGCTCTTCTGACGAGAGCATTGTGGGTAGTCGGCTTCCTGATGGGCATCGTTGGCACATTGGGAAGGGCGCTGCGGGAAGTCGCGGACACTGCCATGCTGGACACGTTGCTCTTGTGCGTTGCGGTCATAAACCATATCGGTTGGTTGGCCTTCAGAGACGGCGGATAAGGAAGGGGCAGTTGCTGTAACAAGGATATATGTAACAGTTGACGCCGTCTGAGGGAAGCGAGTATTGATGGACGCGGCTGGCGGTGGGTTTGGTCGCCGACGACGGGGGAGCCGGCCTGGAGGGGACACAGGATCATGAGAAAACTATTCTCTGACGGTCCGACTCGTGTTCGTAGAAGATGGCATGGTGGGTTTGGTAGCATGGGCTGAAGTGGCATTCGACTGCACTCGTCAGAACAACACAAGGGGCGAGCGACTTGGCGAGATGTACTTTTGGTGCTGCTCCTATTGCCTTGCGTTTGACTCTGATGCGTAGACTTCAGAGGTGAGAACGAAGCTTACAGATGGCTAGAGAGTGCTGTGACAAGTGACGCGATCCCCTCGCAGCCGGAACTGGCTAGCTATTGCGGCGATGATGTCTCTCACTGGCCAGATGACGGTGGACGGTCCAGTGATCGTCCATGTTGAGTCGAGGATGTCTGTGTAGTTCAGATGCAGCTAAGGAGGGGCGACTGGGAAAATGTGAGTGGCACAGAGACAAGATGCAATAGGAAGCGATTCAGCGTGGAGTCTCGCCTACGTAGCTCTTTCCCCAATTGACGTTCGTTGTGCCTTGTCCTGAGCATCGAAAGCGTTCGCCGGCAACAATGGCCCTCAGGTCAGCTTTTTCATCACAATCATATCGATTCATATATTTTCCAGTCTCTTGTGTCGCAGCTTGGGAATCTTCTACTTGTGGTCGTGTTGTGGCTGCTGTTGTTCAGGCAACAGACGTCACGCCCATATACTGGTCTTGTTGCTGTCATCACTCGATCGTGGAGCTCAAATATGAATGGAGACGCTGTTGGTGACTGGCTCTACAACTTGACCTCTCTTCGAGTCAGTCGTCGTTGGTTTCTAACATTCGGTGTTGTTGTGCAAGTCGCGCAGGGACTGTAACTTGAGCTCCTTGTTATGACGCATGCGAATCCGAATCCTGCTTCGAGACGACTGCCAAGACATGCTTCCGGCAGAACACGCACGGGCTTTTCTCTCCCGGTCTTGTTTCAAATCTAGCCACGAGGTGTCGTCTGTTTGTATTTCACAAGCTTGATCACGACGGGATTTCATGGTCTGACGACGACGTACCGAGAAGTAAGATCTGCCCCTCAACGCTTGAAAAACTTCCTGGCCAGCGGACTTTGGTGCGGTGTAGCCAACCAGCGTGTCTACACTACGGCCCGTCGAGCTTCGCAAAGTCTGCTTTACCTAGGCAGGGCTTCGCTGCTTTACCAAACTATCGATGGCGCGAAGCAGCGCATCCACGATATCTGAAGCAAATTTACATTGCTATTGGGCAAAAGCGACAGAGTGTTGTGTATCATTACTCTCTACAAGAGCTTCTCCACGCCCGTCAAGATGCTCCTTGCCCTCTCGTTTGCATGAAAACCATGTCTCTCGACCAAAGCCGTCGACAGGCATCAGGCTCCGCAGAACTTCTCTGCACCGCTCGAATCGTTTAGCGTACATCTCTGGAGTCTCACTTGTATCATGCCCTACGGCCGCAGCCTCTCTACCAGATATCCGATATCATCGCTTCCACAATTTCAGATGCGCTCAAGCTTGCTGGAGTGATTGTTTAGTAGACCGAAACTATGATCGAGTAATTTAGCAGTGGTGTGTCTGCGAGAGTCCCGAAGCTCATAATTCTTGATCTGGTTCAGCTGGCTCAAAGTTGAGTAATTCTCGCGTCAGATAATTTCAAACTGCTCGATATCTTTCCAGCCACACCAGAACAGTGACTACTGATGCAAAGAGACCTGCCGCACTCGCAACGGCTGTTCTGGAGGATCGGACCATACCTAAGCCTGTTAAGCGGGCGAAGACCCCACCCCTTGGAGTAAAAGCTCCATATCTCGTCCCCTGGAAGCTTGCAGCAACGGAGCCTCACCTGGTGAGTCTGGGTTTGCAATGGATACTGTCAATTAACACACCTGAGACTATTCCTTTTGAGCCAAAACCTACTCTTAGGAGTAGTGTTAGAGTGAAGACGAAGACGGTGCACCAAATCATGGTGAGCGGAACATCATCTGAGGCGTGTCAGTCTGCAAACTTGGGAGAGAGTGACAAGTGTATCGCCCATGCGCAACGTACGAGGTGTCAAAAGCCATCTTGAAGACTCGGTCCATCGAAAAGCCACAGATCTAGACATCAGAGGTCGATCTCTTGCGAAATGCTGGAACCAGCTCAGGACGTGAGAAACGGTGGTAGTATTCATAATAGTGATTAGCAATTGCCTAGCCGTGAAGTAAAGTCCCTAGCGATGATCGAGTTATCTGCCTTTGGGCCAAAGGCTTGTGAGTTTGAGATGATCTCAGGAGACCCCCACCTGACAAAGCAGGGCGTAAATATAGACATGACACGTAGGCGCCGACACTTAGATTGCTCAACGGCATATATACAATATTGCATGGTGGCTGTAGAATCCTCCTAGTCAGTGACCTATCGCAACACGACAATCCGCGCTTAAGCCCGAACAATGTACAATCCTGTCCCAGCAAAGCTATGGCAAGAGCCATCCGTCAAAAGTACATTTCGAGATGCGTCAGAACCTGATACTGATCGGAAGTAAAAACTTGGCTATTGTTTGTTGACATTGCACTTAGATCAAAAAGTGATGGAGAATAGAGCTTACACAACAGGTCGAGTGAAAGCATGAACTAACGATTCTCGACAGCAGCCATGTTCTCCACTTGGATACAGCTTGGTCAGCACAGTGGCTTCACTCCATAGATAGCCTAACCATGGCACGTACATAGATGCACGAACAGATCAGGATACACTCATCGATAAATTAGGGAGTTTATCTTTTATTTTTCAAGATACGCTACAGTGTACGTCGCTGTTAAGCAATAAACTTAAAATCATGAGTTGATACAAAGCGACGGCTATGAGCTAGGTACGTGCCAAGATGTGGACACCGAGGTAATGGAAGCTTATAGCGATCGTCACGTGACCTTCGGCCGTCATCCCAACTCGATCGGCTAGTGACAAAGTCGCAAATGAGCCTTATCATCAGAGCATATCACGTTTCAACGTGCTGTGATAGACACATACGGTTGAGCAAGCTATAGGAATCTGTACAATTATCATCTTGTACATTAGCAGTGCGATTCTGGTACATTCGGCAGGAAGATTGACATTCGAAGCTTGCCACCAACTGTTCCTCCCCAATCTTTGTCTCTTTAGGACTGCTCCACACAATTTATAGTCGATCTGGCAACAATAGTTATAGACACTACCTAATCGAACCTCAGACCCATCTAGGACGTCTTCACTAACATTCGTCCACTCTAGATATCAGCACTCGAAAGTCAGGATTACCACGTGCCGAAATTTCAAATCGGAAGCAGGGTCGTCCCTACAGCAAGCGTGATGTCCGAATCGGGCCAGTCGGCGAATTCTGCCGATTAAGACTCTCTCTTTGCAGCGCTTTGCAGCGCTAGCGGTCGTGGTCTGGAGTCCCATATTCGACGGGACACCTTTTCGTCCCAATCTCGTGACGCTCGACGCATCTTCAAGGGTTTTCGGCTGTCCGTCTTTGAACACAATCGACCCTACAGAGCCGTGATTGTAACATTGAGACCCTTTTGATTCTCGTTTTTCTCGTCTTCGTTGATGACAAGAATGAGTGGAAACGACAATAACGCGTCGTCAAGTCGCGACGCGCAAACGCGGTCCGGACACAAAAGAGGTGCGCATTCACCCTGCGCCGACGGAACCCTCAAGGCGTCGTATACTAATCCAGCGAAGGGAAAGAACCCGACAAAAGTGACCCACGGAAGAAGCAAGCGCGAGGCTCTCGACCCTTGGCTTCGGATCCGGGCACAGTGCCCGAATCTCTCAGTGATTTGCTTAGCAGGCAATCGCCGATAGCGAACAGTCCGGGCACTCCATGGCAGACAGTGAACAACTCCAACACTATCCCAATCGCTTCACCGGGTCCAATGAAGGGCGGGAAGACCTTGGTACAGGTTGCGAAGGAGATTCTGAATGAATACCCAGATGGTCTCACTTTGCAAGATATCTGCGATAAGAGCAATGGTGCCCAGAGCAAAAGTGGTCAGGCCACAAGAACAGCGAAGAACTCGATGGGGGCCACGCTGAGCCAACATAAAGAGCTCTTCCGAAAAGAACTTTCGAAGGAGAACAAGAAGTACAAATGGTATCTGATAGCCCCCATTCCTGGTATTCCCACTCAGTCAATGAACGAATCGCTGAATCAAAGCCTTGTCACTCACACAACCAACACGACGATGGCTTTGACCACTCCTCGAGAGCAAGAGCCAAGTGAAGGGCGCAGCATGACCAACAACGGTGTCTCTGAACGTGAAGATCAAGTTGAGACGAACAGAGACGACGCCACGACACCTCATGAAACGTCTTCGGCTGCGACTGCCCAGAAGATCGATTTCATAATTGAAAGCGCAGGTTCTCCGCGTACTGGCGGAACAGATGGACCAGCTGCAGCCCTAGAAACTGAGCCAAGCCAACAGTCTCATCTGCACGAGCTGCAGCAGACCTCTCCGCCTTTGGTCGATCGGCAAGAAGAGTCATCAGCTCGCGAATTGCAGCCTGCGGTCCACGAGGGAAGGGACGCCACCATACCTGACTTGCTCCCTGGTCTTGTGGCGGAGGACCGTTCCGTCGTCGCTGTTCCACTAATCGCTCCCGAGATGGAACCCGCAGATGTCGTGGTTGAAGAGGCTCAGGACGCCTCCGTCGACCATGATATGACTTCTCTGGAAGCCCTGCGTCCTCTCCTGGCGAATGTGATCAGTACGGAGGTGGCTAGGTTCGACAGCCGCCGACACGAAGAGTTGCCAGCTCTAGGGGAACATCTCCCCTCACGCGCCCACAGCAATATCGATGTGCATGCGATTATAGAGGACATACTAAGGCCCCTTCGCGGAACCGTGGGGCTGGATTCCACGCTTGCGCAGCCTGCTGTTCTCGTCAACCGCAGCGACGCCCATCGAGCGCTAGATGACATCAGGCTAGCAAGGGGTTTCAGGAAACGTTTCGATGAGGCAATTTCGAAGTGTGACTCCACGCTAGCCACGATGATTGGTTTCGTCAATCTCATGAAGGAGCCAATCGCCCATATCGAGTCTTTCAAAAACTCGCTACAGGCATACAAGGCGCAAGTCACAGCTAGTCAGAGACTTTCTCGGAAAAGTCTCAATGCATTCATCGACGATCAGGATGATGACGATCAGGTCATCGAGTAAAGGGTATGGCCCTGATTGATGTTGTGATCTGGAAACGAGGGAGGGCGAACTAGCACCAGAAGGAGTTTCGTAATCAAGTCGCAGGGCATTTCTAAATAGGAACTATGAAGAAGTTGTTTTACGTTGGCCGTCACTTCCAGCGGAGCTTACAGCGAGAGTGCAACTCAAGTAGATGTAAAAGGGACTCGGTCAA